ACTTCATCCTTAATATAGGTTTTTGGGTCTGAGTCTCCTTATGTTTATGTGCCCATCTGTCTCCCTGGCCCTTCTTCCCTGGGCTCTCCCCTGCCCCCGCTGATTGTGTTCAGTTCCCAATGATTGGTGTCTGTCACCTCTCCCCTCCATCCAGCCTGCCCCAGATCCCTGGAACGCTCTAGGCTTTGTGCTAAGTTTTATAGGTATCGTTTCTTTGCATCCTCAAAACAACCGTACAAGGTAGATCCTACCCTCATACACGGTAGATACTGCCCTCGTCCTCTCAGACATAGCAAGCAGATTGTAGCCCCAGGACCTTTGCACTACTTGTCCCTTCTGCCTCGAACTCTCTGGGTCTTCCTATGACTCACTCCCTCACTGTTGAGGGCTGTTTAGGTGTCGTCTTGCCATTAAGGCCTTACCTGACCTCTCTGCTGGAAGCAGCTACCCTATCCTCACACCTCTTATCTCCTTTTTCTCTTTATTTTTTTCATAACACTTAGAACACCTGACATACTGTGTATTCTGCTTGTTTATTTGTTAATAGTCTGCCTCCATTAGAATGTAAGGTCCAAGGGGCAAGGGTGGTTGCCTGGTATTTTCCCCAACACAGTGTCTGGTACATAGTAGGTGCTCCTTTTTCCATTTTATAAATGAAGACCTTAAGGCTTGGAGAGGTGAAGGAACTCATGCAGGGTCTCATAGGCAGTCAGTAGCAGAGCCCAACTTGAACCCGGAAGTGTATGACTTTACATTTCTACAAGGACAGTCCACCGGTGGGGTTGGTGGAGAACGCTGGTAATGGGGCTGAACACCTGGGCCTTTGAAGATGAGTGGGTTTTCAACAGGGCACAGGCAGCTAGTGTGTCTGAGGAGCCCAGGGGGCACAGGGAGCTGTGAGGAGAGGCACTCTCCAGCATAGAGGTTGGGAGCTTACTGTCCAGGGTGCTGAGACCCTCCTGCATCCTTCCAGCAGGAGAGGAAGTGCTGCTGGTGGAGCCAGCTCACTGGCAGTTTTCTACTTAGAAGCTTTGACTTCCAGTAGAATCCATGCCCTTTGTGGTGGAAAGAACTAACAGCTTCAGCCATGAAAACCAGGACAAGTCACTCCTCCCTGGGCCTCAGTTTCTTCATCTGTAAAACAGAAGAAATGGAGTTGAACTGGATAACTTTCTCAGTCTTTTTCACTTCTAAAAAGCAAAGATTCCGTGCTATTTTGGCTCCAGATTCAGCTCACCTTCAAAAGCTGCACACAGGGGACCCCACCGCTCCTCAGCTCTTATCTCCATTTTATGGAGCACTTATTGGGTGCCAGGCATTTACCATGTAGAGGCTCATTTAATTCTACAGTAACACTGTGAAGCAGGTACTAGTACTGTCCCCATTTTATATGGAGGAAACAGGTGCAGAGTACATTTACCTGGTCTAGTGGCAGGGCCAGGATGAGGAATCCAGGAAGCCTAAACCTGGGGCCAAGGCTTCTAGTGTAGGCATCCTTAGCTGTTCTCTCCCTTTAGTCTGTCCACACAGGGGCACATGAGAGGGAGGCACAGATGTCCACGCCAGCTCTGTAGGATGGCAGGATGGCCCAGTGGGGAATGAGAAGAAGGCTCGAGGCCGAGGCTTTGGCCTCTAAGCAGGGTGATGTTGCTGCAGCCACCTCTTCTTCCCTTGGCCCCCTTTTGTGCTAGGAAGTCAAGGGAGCTGTGAGGAAGAAAGCAGTATCCCTGCCCCCAGAGGAAGGCCTGGTGAAAAGCGTTATTTGCAAGCAGGATCAGCCACCTATGAAGTAGTTCAGTTTGGGAGCAACTTAGGGAATAATTTGGGCCCTGAAGGGGAACTTGTAACCTCAGGACCCACCTGGAGCAATGTGCCACAGCTCAGGCCGCAGCTCTGTCTCCTTGGGGAGTGAGGGCTTCGTGGGGCTTGCTGGGTGCCTGCTACCCCAGCCCTGGAGAGGCCACAGTGAAGATTGAGGTCCCACCAAGGTTTCAGCAAAGGAGGATGGGATTGTCCCCTTCTGCTTAGTCAGAAGGGCCAACTGGAAAGAGCTTTGGGCTGAGAGTCAGGAGACTTGGCCTCAGTGTGATCCTGAGCAAATCATCTGCCCTCTCTTGTGCCTCTCTTTCCCTTAAAAAATGGGCACACACGGCCACTCTTTAGCTCCCCTCCTCTTCTAGAGGGTGGAGGTGGAGGGTAGCAGTTAATAGTAGATGGGACAGTCTTGTGTTTTGAAAAAAAAAAGCAAAGGTGAGTGGACAGACAGGATTCCAGGGGGTTGTTCCTAATCCAGGTTGCGGCTGGTACCCACTGGGTCTGAAGGACTCTCTTGCCTGTTGCAGAATGAGCCCATGATGGTGGCAGTTGAGGAGGGTAGTGAGGCAAGCATCCCTGCTGTGAGAGATGGCCAGGGCCGCACTGGCCTCCCCCGCTTTCTCCCTCTCCCCCTTCCTCCCTCCCTCCCCCCCTTCCCCCCTTCCCCCCTTCCTCCCTTCCTCCCTCCCTTCCCCCCTTCCTCCCTCTGCTCACCCCCTTGGCAGCTCTTTCTGAACTTGTTTTTCCAAGTCCCTAATTAACTTCATGCTCAGCCTCCCAGGTGAGTCTGCTCTCCTGGCTAACTTTTCCTCAGAGAGCCAGCTTCTGCTTCCCATGTTTCCTGGCAGAATTAGGTTATGCTGCCCCTGCCCCTTACCTCAACCTCTCTGTTTTTCAGGGGAGAGGGGGGTGCCAGGACTGGATTCCCAGCCTGACCATGGCCACGGACAGGCAGTTTTGCCAACTCACTTCTGGATGGCCATGGAGAGCCCACAGGCTGGAGCCACTTACTTAATGCCCATATCAGCCTGTATTGACTTGGCAGACCCTTTTTTCAGAGGAGGAAGAATGAGGCCAGAAAAGGAACTTAAATTTACCTTCACTGGGGAGAAACGGGCAAGAAAAGCTCCAGCAGTGTTGTAAAACAGAGAAAGTGTGTGTAATTTTTATCATACATGCATTTCATTGCTATTCATCCCCGGACCCAGACTTCTCCTAACATGCTGTTTCTGATCAACCCATCCAAGTTAAAGTGTAAATGAGGTACACTGAGGTGTGTGATGGGGGATCCGTCCTAAGCCCAAGGCATACATTCCTATGGGTGAAATAGCAGTCATCAGGGAGCTAACTGGGGACAGGATCAGTGATTCAGAGATGGCTTTCCCAGGCCTGTGAATTGACCCTGCCTGGGAGGTGGTGAAAACATTGTGGTATGAAGAAAATACAGCCTTTGAAGTTAAACAGTACTGAGTCCAAATCTGGTTTTCATCCCTTCCAGGCTGTGTGACCTTAGGCAAGTATGTAACCTCTCTGATCTTCAGTTGATCCTGTATAAAATGAGATAAGTCCTGCCTCACAGGGTCATTGGGAGGATTGAAGGCAATTGAAGCATATACAAAGTGCTTAACAGTTCCAGGCACAGAAGAGACAGCTGATGACTATTCATTCCAGATTTCCCCTTTGAACTTGCTCCCGCTCCAGAAGCCCTGGAGGTGCTGCGTCTTGCTTCATTTTCCCAGGTTCCCTTGTATTCTTCATTGGTGTTTTGCAGTATGGAGTACAAGGTGTGCCCTCCCCATCCCAGTGCAGACTCCCAGGGAGGAAAACCTCTCTGAGTCCTCACTAGACAGGGGACAGGGACATGCCAGTGCCTGTCTACATAGCCACATGGAAATCAGGGTGGCTCAGGCAGGCATGGGGATTACCAAATGGTACCATGAGGCCACAGACCCCCCTTACCCACTTATTTAGGCTCAGCCATCTGGTCAAGGAGGAAGTGCAGTCCAGCCATCATGCAGGACAGGCGGCAGCAGGAGACATGAGACTGGACCCCATCAGTGGGCACCCTGACAGTGGTGAATGGCACGGCATGAATAACACATGAAGTCTCCGTAATTGGTGTTATTACACATGCATTTCATCTCCATTCATAATGATTGGACACTTAAACCCAGCCGTTCCTCTGCCGCCTGCTGCTGTCATCCTTCTAGCCGAGATCCCAGCAGCTGTTGGGATCAGCCCCTGCCACTCTGATGCTGATGGGTGTGGTTCCTTTTTCTCTGGAGCTCGAGTTCCAGGAAATGTCTGTTTGTGGGAAGGAGTGGGACTGGTTCTTGTGATCAGACCACCCTGCCAACTGCCACGATGCATATTGTCCACCTTCAGGGACTTCCTCACCATCTAGGCAGTCAGCAGGGACATCCTGAGGTGAGAGACAGAAGAGACTATGGCTCATAGGCTCAGCCAGCAGAAAGTGGTCTAGGGTCATTCCTTGTAGCAACCTGCCTCTGGGCGTCCCTTCATACAGTGGACCTCAAACTGTAGGTGCATTAGGATTACTTAGAAGGTTTAGTAAAACATTGCTGGACCTTACCCTCAGCATTTCTCACTCAGTAGGTTTAGGTAAAGTTTGAAATTTGCGTTTCTAACCAAAGGATCAGAGACCTAATGCTTCTAGTCCAGGACCACACTTTGAGAACCGCTGCCTTAAAGCCTAGTTACTGCAACTGCAGTGCGTGGACAAAGAGCCTCACCTGAGTGCTTGTTACAAATGCAGAATCACAGGACCTGCTGCAAGCTTCTGGATCAGGAGTGCATTGTGATGAGATTCCCAAGTGGTTTTTACACCCATGGCAACTTGAGAAGCATTAAAGCGCAAATGGGTCAGAGGCGGGCAGAGCTATGGAACGCAGGTCTGGCAGCTGTAGATCTCTGACCAGTTGCTTCCAGCCAAGAGCAGCTTCTCTCTTCTGTGACAAAGATTGGGAAACATTGTCCTAGAGCCCCCGAGCAGATGACTAAAGACCCTCTGAGGAGGGACTTCCAGCCCCTGACTCCATATGTTAATCCCGCCTCTTACCCTGGAATGCCCTTCCTGGTAACCTTCATGCGGAAGTCCATGTCCGCAGCCAGGCCTATCCATCCCTGTCTGACAGCTGCCCCCTGCTCTCCTCCCCTGCCCATAGGTAGTGGCCTTTGCCTCTCTCTTCTTCATCCTGGTCTCCATCACCACCTTCTGTCTGGAGACCCATGAGGCCTTTAATATCGACCGCAACGTGACGGAGATCCTCCGTGTGGGGAACATCACCAGTGTGCACTTCCGGCGGGAGGTGGAGACGGAGCCCATCCTGACCTACATCGAGGGCGTGTGTGTGCTGTGGTTCACGCTGGAGTTTTTGGTGCGCATCGTGTGCTGCCCTGACACGCTGGACTTCATCAAGAACCTGCTCAACATCATCGACTTTGTGGCCATCCTGCCCTTCTACCTGGAGGTGGGGCTGAGCGGCCTGTCTTCCAAGGCGGCCCGCGACGTGCTGGGCTTCCTGCGTGTGGTGCGCTTCGTGCGCATCCTGCGTATCTTCAAGCTCACACGCCACTTCGTGGGGTTGCGTGTGCTAGGCCACACCCTGCGGGCCAGCACCAATGAGTTCCTGCTGCTTATCATCTTCCTGGCCCTAGGCGTGCTCATCTTTGCCACCATGATCTACTACGCAGAGCGCATCGGGGCCAGGCCCTCTGACCCTCGGGGCAATGACCACACCGACTTCAAGAACATCCCCATTGGCTTCTGGTGGGCTGTGGTCACCATGACGACACTGGGCTATGGGGACATGTACCCCAAGACGTGGTCAGGCATGCTGGTGGGGGCGCTGTGTGCGCTGGCTGGCGTGCTCACTATCGCCATGCCGGTGCCTGTCATTGTCAACAACTTCGGCATGTACTACTCCCTGGCCATGGCCAAGCAGAAGCTGCCCAAGAAACGGAAGAAGCACGTGCCACGGCCAGCCCAGCTGGAGTCACCCATGTACTGCAAGTCTGAAGAGACCTCCCCCCGGGACAGCACCTACAGTGATACCAGCCCCCCTGCCCGGGAAGAGGGTATGATGGAGAGGAAACGGGCAGGTGAGATTAGGGGTTGGGTAGGAAAATCCCTTTTCCCCCAGTGGCTGAGGGAGTTTCCAGGTGAACTTCAGCCCTTGGGATTTGGGCTGATGTTTTATTGTGTGGGGTTAAGCATAAGATGTGCCTTTATAGGAGCAAAGTGTTGAGGCTAAATTTCTCTATCCTCTGGCTGAGTCTCCCATAGTGTCCCAAACATCAGATCTTTGAAGTGAGTATTCCACCCAGTGTAGGCTGTGAGGGGCAGTGCATGGGACTGTATATTAGATGCCCTGGTTTCTAATCCCATTTTGGCCACTGTGCTGTGTGCCCTGAGGCCAGTCACTCACCCTCTCTGGGCACCGGTAAAATAGGAGTGATATTATATCCTACCCTTGAGACTTTGAAAGACCCAAATGAATGACAGATACGAAAGTACTTTGAGAAGTTAGTTAAAACCACTTTACAAATGTCAGGCACTGTCATTATTAGCCAAAGATCAGGGCAGCTGTTCTTCCAAGGTACATCAACACATGAATCACTTCTCTGCAAACGTTTGCGTCTGGTATCTTGGCCTAATAAATGTGATAACGTAATAGTAGTGGGAGGCTGCCTTCTGTTCAGCACAAGCTAGATTGAGTTCTGGGCTCAGGGTCTGACATGGGATGGAAAGGAACTGAGGAGGGAGTGGCCCAGACAGTGCTGGGAAGGGGAGGAACATGGAAGAAACTGGTATCTGTGCCCTGGAAGAGGAGAGCCTGGGCATCTGAATCCTGTCCTTCAAGGACAGGAAAGGCCATCCCAAGAAAGCTCATCTCCACCCCTGAATCAGGAGATGGGGAATGGAAAACAGCTTAATCCCCAGCAACATGGACTTAGGTTGGAGAGCGGGAAAGGCATCCTGACTGTTATGTGGAGGCTGGGCTCCTGGGAACTGAATGGAATTCCTGGTATGGAGACCTGGGCTGGAGCCAGGAGACTAAGGCTAAGCTCTGGGGCAAAGGGGGACTGACCCTGCAGGAGAGACACCTGGCTCAGGACACTCACCCATGGCCTTTGGCATGTGCCCATCTTATCTGCCTGGGTTGTCTCATTCCCTAGAGTCACGTCAGGGGCCTGGGTCTTGATAGACTAGCACCCATCAGGCTTCCCATTTCTCCCCACCAAAGTGATACCCCTTCCTAATTCGTGAATATTAATCTCCCAGGGAATTTCAGCTGCACTCTGAGACCCATTCAGGGCTTAGAGAGAATCCTGATATTAACATGTGGAAGTCCTTAGGTCAGCTGCTCACGGTACACTTCACCGTGGCCCTATCAGACCGGCCCTTAGCCTGACCCTGACAGCAGCCACATTAAGGGCATGCCTGGCCAGTGGCGGGGCCACTGTCTTTGCGTAAAGTAGCACCCCCTTCTCCAGATCCCAGGGCCAAGCTTCACCTGTGCTGCTGCCTGACAGAGGCAAGGGGTGGGGACCAAGCCCATAGCTCTTGGGAGCTGCATCGGAGCTTTTCCCACGGTATCCTCCCCAGACAAAGGTCAGCCCTAATTGCAGAGGGCTCTAGGTCTTTGGGTCACAGGACTCCGACCTAGATGCCTAGTGAACCAGAATGACTGTCATCCAGAGAGAAAGCATGGACAACACTTTATAGATTTAACCCTTGCTGTGCCACCCCTCACCCCTAGCAAGCTAGGCATTCTCCATGGAAGTGCAGACTCATCCAAGAGCCAGCCTGAGCCAGACCCAAGGAGGAAGTAGAGTCTGCAGCCTGCGTTGGGCTGATCTCCTGGGGCAGCCATCAGCAGGCAGATTTGGGGAGTTGCTGTTGTAGGGCATCTGTGCTGTGACTTCATCCCTGAGGAAAGACCCTAGGCTGAGGCTGGGAGAGAAGCCAGCCTTCAGACCAAGCACAGCATCCTGCCTTTGCCCTGGTGACACGGACTCCCAGGTAGATGCTAGGCCCCCTCCTGAGGTTTCGGAAATGACACTCTGGGTCTAGGAGACCCCAGATGACCCCATGAGCAAGGCCCAGGCAGCCCCTCACGCAGCCTGCTTTCTGTGTGCCCCCTTCAGATTCTAAGCAGAATGGCGATGCCAACGCGGTGCTGTCTGATGAGGAGGGAGCTGGCCTCACCCAGCCCCTGGCCTCCTCCCCCACCCTGGAGGAGCGCCGGGCCCTGCGACGCTCCGCCACTCGAGACAGAAACAAGAAGGCAGCTGCGTGCTTCCTGCTCAGCGCTGGGGACTATGCCTGTGCCGATGGTAGTGTCCGGAAAGGTATGGCTTCCCAAGCTGGACAGGTGGGGAGCCCCCCAAGAGCTGAGTCTCCCCAGTCCCCCCCAAAGAGCTTGAGGTCCCCCCCTCCCCTGAGACTGTGGCCACCATCTCCTCTGCCTTGGATGCATCCCCGCTTCTAGAATGGGTACCTGATCTCCAGTCCCTGGATTAGAAAGGCCACCTCCATCACAAAAGGGCATACGGCTCCCATCCAGCTGCCCACGGGAAAGAGCAGCACCAGAGGGTTGAGAGCACACAAGGCCAGGCCCCCACCCCATGCGTCCATTGCATCTCTTTCTCTTCCTCTGGTTCCCACTGCTGCCTTCAGGCCCCACTCCACAGGGTCACTGCCAGCCTCTCCCTAGGCCTCCTTTAAACACAGCTAAGGCTTCCCAAGTAGGTCACTGCTCGAGGTGCCAACAACGTTCAGGAGTCAGGGAGCCCCTTACAGGCCCTGCATCCTCCCATCCTGCCCCGGGGGTCCTGGAGCACAGGATGGGCAGACCTCCATGTGCAAGTGCCTAAGGTGAGACTGTCCTCTTGAGGCAGTGCCAGAGGTGACCAGGGGGTGGGGCAGGTGGGCAGGAAGAGTGGGTCCCATCTGAGGAATGCTCTGAGGATTTGGAGAGGTAGAGGGAGCAGCCCATTCTCTGCTTGTCAGAAGAGCCTGAAATTCCATCCCCAGGCCCCAAGCCTGCAGCAAGGCAAGGGAAGACGTTAGGCTGTGGAGCTAAGGGATTCTGGGCCTCAGAAGGGGGACAGGAATGATCAATGATGGTGAAGGGCCTGTGGTGACTGAGAACTAGGGGTCTTAGAACCAGACGCTCCTACCTGGTTTTAGGACCAGATGCTCCTACCTGGTTTTCCATCACTTATTCGTCTCTCTTGCCCTGTCCCTGTTACCTAATCTCTCTCAATGTTCTGCCTATTTCTAGAATAAACCCTGATTCCATTTTTTTTTTTTTTTTTTTTTACCATGATAGACCAGGAATTTATAAACCCTGATTCCCTCCAAAGCAAACTCTTCCCCAGGTTCTCTGCCACTTCTTAACCAGCTGGATTTCCCATCCCCCATTTCTCTCTGTCCCCAAACCCCAGACCCAAACTAAGTTGAGTGAAGCAGGGGCAGTGGCAGCTACAGGAATAGCCTGCGATGCCTCTATCCCTCCGAACTTGTCCCTGGCCTGCCAGCCCATGCAGGCTCCCTGGGCATCTGCTAGTTCCTTTCCCAGCCCTTCCAGTACCACTGTTCCCACAGAAGCCCCAGGCTCGCAAGTCTAACCAGGCCCTGAAAGGCATGTGTCCAGCTTTGCTGGGTGTGTATCCTGTGGGCTGGCAGAAGCAGAAACAGTGATCTGGTGCCTGGAAGGAGGTGGTCCAGCAATCCTAGCAAAAGGCTGTAGATGGAGACTGCTCAGACCTTGTACCCTCACCTGTGCTCCTTTGTTCACCCCCATGTCCTATCCTGGGGCCCTGGGTGTGGCCTTCTCTCCTGCCTACCATCCCAAACAGGCAGTGGCCTCCACTGTGTCCTTGTTCAGTGCCCAAAGCCTTGCTTTGGCTGGACCATGCTAAGTGGAGAGTCTAGAACAAGCAGTCCCTGCGTAGGATTCAAGAACGCGGAGCTGAGTGCCATGCACACCTGCTTTCCTTCCTGGGCAGTGAGGGGCTCAGTGGAAACAGGTGTGGAAGAGGCCATGAGGGTGCCAGTCAGGAGGGACCACGAGGTACAGGGAGTGGGCCGCACCTGGGGAAGGCGGTGCACGTGCACGGGGGAGGGGAGCCAGCGTCCCACCCTGCAGTATCCCTGGGGCGCCTGTGGGGCCTGGCTGCTCTGTTTTCAAGATGCCTCCACAGTGCTTCTTGGCAACAAGCATGTAGCTCAGCCAATTAGGGTGACCTTCAAGAGGGAACAGGTGGGTTGCTGGGAAACAGGCCCTGCTAGGCAAGCGTGGCAGTTAACATCGCCAAACTCCCAGTGCGCGCTCGGCAACTTTCCCCACACCATACCGTGCCGCACTTCTCCACAGTGGGGTCATGTTTAAGACCAGGAGTGAGTGGGCTCAGGCTTCCCCACACAGGCCCATGTGGTAGAGTGCCAGTTCCCGGGGAGGATGGTGGCAGGTGCTAATTAGGGCTTCTTAGGGTCAAGAAGGTCGATGCTGGAGGCTGGGGGGTCTTTGTGCAGCTGGACGATAAGGAGCTGGGGGGCGGGTGGCAGGGAAGCTTACCTGGGGACAGGACAGGACAAAAGCCAGCTGGGTGTGGGGCCCTAGAGTCTGTCCTCAGGAGTCCAGACCTAGACAGTGAAGAGAGCCCAGGAGGGCCAGGCCCCTCCATCCCCGCCCAGGGCCACCGCCCTGCAGTGTTCCCTGGAACGTGGTCCCTGAGGAGCCGCGCCCACTGACCCGTGTGCCTTTTCTTCACCAAGGCTGTGGAAAGTCCCGGAGTCTAAACAACATAGCTGGAACAGCTGGAACCAGCCTGGGGCTGTCTCCACTGGCATCGCGATACAGCTCGCCCTACCCTCTGAGAAAGTTTCTGCTCACCCCCTTCCAGCCCCTCACTGGCCCTCCCCCTGGTCACTCTGCCCCTTAGCTGCACCTTCCCCTCCAGGCACATGCGCACGAACAGGCGCCTTCCATGCCCTCTGCGCTCACTCCCCGAGGGCCCATGGGGACAGCAGGAGGGAGCAGTCAGGAGAGGAGAATGTAGGCCCCTGAGCCTCTCCTCTATAGCTCCCAGCTTCCCAAAAGGTTCAGCTGTGGAACGGGAGAGCAAAGGGGAGCTCAGTCCCACGGCTTCTCCCCACCCAGAATCGCCTCTTCCTGGGCTGTAGGTGCACACTCTGGACCTCTCAGCCTTGCCTCCCTCTTGGGGTCCCACCAAGGCTAGTCTCAGCCACCAGGCGTGTATGTGCACACAGTGCGCCTGGGGCCAGTTAGCCTTGCTTGGGAGCTGGGCCTATGTTAATATTTTTAATCACTGCGAATGTATTTCCATTCCTCATAGCCTTTAACCAGTAGCCAAACAGCCTGTCTGTCTGTCTGTCTGTCCACCCCACACCCAGACCAGCAAGGAACAAGGCTGTCATGTGGGGCATCTCTGCTCGTGTAAAGATGGTTTGACTCCTTGGAAGAGCAGTGTCTATGGGCAGTGCTGCCCTGGGAGAAGAGGCCTGATGTTTTCTGTCTCTGGCTTGGGGCGCAGGCGGGGGTCCCTAGCACTGTAGCCTCAGGCTTGGTGCAGGTCGTGGGTGGCTGCCTAGGCAAGGGAGACCCTTCCCTCGGGAAGCCTCTGCCCAGATTCGGTGGTGACTCCCAGTGGCGGCACCTGGTGTCCCTTCTGCGCCCCGAGCTGCTACGGCATCGCTCTCCACGCTGCTTCCTCTGCTTCTGCGACAGTTTTCCTTCCCTCTCCCGCTCCCTCAAACTCCCAGCCCTGCCTCTGAGTCACCTGCCATTCTCACCCAGCCTCTGCGCTTTGTATTCCTGCCAGAACCGGAGACTCATCTAATTTCTATAATTAAGTGTATTCATTTACCTAACGAGCCCAGGAGCACAACAGGTTTGTGAGTCACTGGGTGAGCAGGGGTACACCTTGCGCAAGGGCAGCTGAGGGGAAGTGTGGGGACAGAAGCCATCCTGCCCCCAGCTGCTCCTGCCACTTCCAGGAAGGGGGCCCTCCACAGCCTGAGGAACAAGGTTGCCTCAGCCAAGACGTTTCCTGTTTCACCTGATGGGAATTAGACCTGACAGCAGAGCCTTGCGCCTGGCAATTTTTAGAGTCAGATTATGCAACTTTGCGGAGAGAATGACTAAGTAAGGTCCAGATATGCTCCTTCCATGATCGGCAGAGACAGGATGGCAGGGCAGCGTCAGGGCTGGGCAGAGGCTGGGAAATCTGGGGCTGTCCAAAAGGTGAATTGGGCAGAGCAGATTATTTCGTGGGGTTGGGGGTATTGTGTAAAGCCTGTGCCTGGAGCGTCTCCACCCTGGTGCCTCCTTCAGTCTTGGGCAGGCACAGAAATGTCCTTCTGGAAAGGTCTGTCCTGAGTGGGCACTGGGATACCCCACCCTGCAGTGCTTTGTGGAGCCCACCTCCTGCTTGCTCTCAGAATGAAGTGATCCCTAAAAGTGGAGAAGAGGGAATTTGGGGGCTTCCATGCACCTGCCCTTCAGAAGGAAGCAGGCCTTTGAAGTGACAGGGGTGGGGAAGCCTATGGAGAAGGATGGAGCCATAAGGGCCCCGCCCCCAACAGCCACAGGGCTCCCTGCGCAGAGGGCCTGGGCTCTGACCCGGACACAGCGAGCCTGGTGTGCAGGTTAGCAGGGGTGCCACTGCTCTTTTCTCCTCTGACTTGCCTTTCTGGTTCAGGGAACCGAGGCCGCTATTTCTGTGGCAGCCCTCAAGTTGTCAGGAGCCCAAGTTTCCACGGCACCCACCGCCTCCTTCCCTCTCTTCCCTCCCACAGGGCTGGGCCTGCTCATGGCACCCCTCTGGTGGGCACAGATGTCCCTGGGCGACAAGATGCAGCAGTGCCAGGCTGGAGCCCTAATGCCTCAGGGAGCTAGCTCCCACACATCCCTCTTGGGTCTCTGGCTTCATCTAGGAGAGACAGAACCCAGATAACAGGAGGGCTGAGGAGACTGTCTGCCCTTACAACCTCTCAGCATCTCGGCCTGCCCAGGGCCCTAGGAAGGGGCAGGGTGAGCCCTGGCATTTGCAGAAACCCTGGATACCAGGCACTGCCACAGGAAGTGGCTGCCTGCACAAGCGTCAGGCTTACCCAGGCCTTGGGCCTCCCTCCTTGGGAGAAGCCTCTCTCCCACCCACCATCTGAGAGTGGAGTTTGTTTTCCTTCGGCTAGACTTGGACCTGCACCCATTCCTTGGCTGTCAGACGCCTTTCCCCTGCAGCTGGAGCTCCGCCCCTTCCCACAGAACTGGGAGGCAGTCTGGGTAGAAGTTCACAACCTCACCTTCCAGTCTGTAGCAGGG